AAAAACAAATGGGAAGTGAATGCCACCAATATAATCAAAAAACATATCATTAATTTATGTATTACCTATACATCAATGGTACAGGAATTAGTTCATATATTCCTTCCTATAAGTAGCTTATACTTAATTATCTTCAGCTTCAAGGAATGTTTGATAAGTAGTATTTATAAAAATAAAAAAACAAAAAAGGAACTATTTATAAAAAGTACTGTGTTGAAATTCTTATTTTCAAAATATGGGCATGGCTACATCTATAAGATTGGGGACACAATTGGGTTTTCACTGGATCCCCATAGATTTGAAACTTGAAAAATATCCAGTTTTGCTACGTGTAAAGATCCCAGCTCCATTTGAAGGGAAAGACCAGAGACATATTAAAAGCAATGATTAAAAGACAAACATCAGAATCCACATAAAGAAGCTACTACCTTGGTTTGGAAATCGACTTGATTAGAAGCAGCCTTGTAGACATTATCCACAACCTGTTTGAAAGAAGGCTTGAGAGGGAGAGACTTGTCTATCCAAACACCGTTGGCAAACGACAACCGGGGCCCACCCGCGGGGCTACCGTCGGCGAACACAACGGAAACGAGCTCGGAGGAGAAGGAGCCGAGGTGGTCGTTGGATGTTGACTTGAGGAAAGAGAGGAGCTGGTCGAGGGTGGGGCCCCTCGAGCCGGCCGCGATCATGCTGAGCACCACGTGGATCGACAGCGGCGAGAACGCAAGGTTGGAGTCCTTGGCTTCGGTCTGGAGCACGTGCTTTGTCAGGCTCAAGGTTACGTCGGTTTGCCTCCTGATCGATTCACGGAGATCCATTGTCGGAATCTGAAACACAAACAAGTCGAGAACCCAGATAGCCCCTTTTACTTCACTTGGGTTCTAGCTCGAGTCTTCGACAAAGCCGAGACGAGAAAAGGACCGCTATCCTTAAAGCAGGACAGTTGAAGATTTAATATTGTGAAATGGGACCGTTGCGGCTTTACCGCGTAGGAGAGAATCCGCGTTGAAATTGCCCTTTGCGTGAGAATTAAGCTTCCTTTGATATATATATATATATTATTTGGGTAAAAGAGTAAATTTAACCTATTAATTAATTAATTAACTTTGTTTGACAGTCTCTATCGTCTAATTCGACGAACTTTCATCGTTACCGATCACCTAGTGTTACGATTAAAAAAAAAATTATAAATTCTAAATTGATAATCTATTAGATTAAATTGAAATTTAGTATTTAAATATTAATATTATTTTTAAAATTTTTAATAAAATAAAATTATGAGACATTATGATTTAAAATGAATAATATTTTGTAAATTTATATAAATATCATTAAATAAAAAAAATACAAGTGAAAATCCATTAGAATAAAAATCACAACTCCAATGTGATTGCTTTACAACTAAACAACTTAGCAGTGAAGAACAAAAACATTAAAAAGACCGAAAGAAAAAGAAGCTACGAGAACGCATGCACTATGCTTTGGCACGTGTGAAACGCAACATCCAGATACTTGAAATTTCCACAATCCTGAATCGTTTGCTCGGCAGGCTTCGATATACCCGCGTATTTTTTGACCTCGATGAAAGATTTGTGGAATATGT